CTAAAGCCCACCCCACATCAACTGCACCACCATTTGTGTATATTCACACCACCAAAAGACATATCACTTCACCAGCACCACCATCGTCATACCACCACCCACATATTTGTACATCCAATGTACCACCTCGCAGATTCGCAACCCACCATGACAAAAACAACAATACACCAAAAATCTACCACACCACCATCACAATCAAACCACTGTCACCATCCTTCGACCAAATTAAACACTACCTTGGAATTTTTTAGACATTTTGATATCAGGGACAACATCTCGTTACCTGAATCGAACCGTAAGATGAGAGAATTGGAGATCGATGAAATAGTGGAAGATGGTCGGTTGACCCGGCTATCTTTCCAAAATAACTTGCGACCAATTAATTAAAAAATAATAATAATAGGTTGAAATAAGAGTTAGAAAACAAAAGGCCAAAAATACCCTCAAGGAAAAAAGAAAAAAATTCTCTCATAGTCCATCCACTCGAAATAGTCGACCAACACCGACCACAACAATCCAGTGACCGACGCCTACCACCACACAGAAAACCTAGTCACCGGCGAAAAAGCAAGGTTAGTTTTGGTGGACTATGAAATGAATTTTCATATAAGTTGTAGATGATAAACTGATTAAATTTGACATTTATTTAGCTTATTCGTTGATTATTTAGGTAGATGCTACTTTAGGAGATTTTTTTTGGGGGGTACGGATTAAATTTTTGGGTTCAAGATCGCCGAAAACGATGATCTCCGATTACAGGGAGAGCACGGTCGATGATTTGGGCAGTTAACAGTCCACGACTATTAGTCGGCCAAACAGTCTTTCGGCCCATTTTTTTCCTTTTTTATTATTTTATTAATTATTTAATTTTTTCATTTAAAATAATTTTATTATTATTTATTTAATTTTTCTTTTTTATTTTGCTCTTTAATTTTTATTTAATTTACTTTATTACTTATAATTTTTTGTTATTTACAAATAATTTTAAATAAATTAATTAAGAAATTTAATTTTTTAAAATTAAATAAATAATTTTAAATTGAAAATTAATAAATTAGATATTCTTTTTAACCAAA